TCTCTAATTTTGGTGAATATTTTTGTCATTTTTGGTAAAAACTGATATTTTCGACTTCTTGTTAAAAACCGCAAGTGCAATTGCTTTGATATTACATATATAGGTACTAACATGTGGACCTCTCTCAGATTTGTTCATTTTGTAATGATATCTTTAATTCTCTAATTTTGGTGAATATTTTTGTCATTTTTGGTAAAAACTGATATTTTCGACTTCTTGTTAAAAACCGCAAGTGCAAATGCTTTGATATTACATATATAGGTACTACATGTGGACCTCTCTCAGATTTGTTTATTTTGTAATGATATCTTTAATTCTCTAATTTTGGTGAATATTTTTGTCATTTTTTGGTGAAAAGTGATATTTTCGACTTCTTGTTAAAAACCGCAAGTCCAATTGCTTTGATACTACATATATAGGTACTACATGTGGACCTCTCTCAGATTTGTTTATTTCGTGATGATATCTTCAATTCTCTAATTTTGGTGAATATTTTTGTCATTTTTGGTAAAAAGTGATATTTTTGACTTCTTGTTAAAAACCGCAAGTCTGATTGCTTTGATATTACATATATAGGTACTACATGTGGACCTCTCTCAGATTTGTTCATTTTGTGATGATATCTTCAATTCTCTAATTTTGGTGAATATTTTTGTCATTTTTGGTAAAAAGTTATATTTTCGACTTCTTGTTAAAAACTGTAAGTCCGATTGCTTTGATACTATTCATATTGTTCATTTTCTAATGATGTCTTCAGTTCTTTAAGTGAAATGTGCATTGCTAACAGCGGAGCTATCTCAGCCGATAGGCTGCTTGTTTAAACTACCGAAGCACACTGTTTAGCACTCCCTATTTTTTTCATTTGCCGATTTCTATTCAGAAAAATTCGACCGCTCGAAAATGCACCTTAATTTGCACCCTTAAAACATGTCAGATTTCCAACACTAATTATTTAAAACCGGTCGAAATTTTAAAACTTTTACGTTAGGAGCTGGAGCTCTCTTCTTGCAGGCGACAGTCGCCGGTAGTACAACAGCATGTTTTGTACGTACATCCGTGCGCTGATTGTCTGCGACTGTCTTAGAAAATCCCTGAATAAGGCGTTGCCAAAATCGGAAAAATAAAAAAATGCTTCCTTAAAAAACGAACATAATTCAAATATGTTGCAGTGGGAAAAATGGGATTGGAAACAATGAACAAAACTTCTGTGCCTCGCGTTTCGATTCTAGGATTACGCGATTATTCATTATTGTGCGTTCGCTTCCTGGAGTTGGTTCTCAATACTACATAAAAATCATCAAGGATAAATAATTTAATATCCCACTTTGTACTCTTCACGGTAAACCATAGGCTCTGAAATACTCGTAGATTTTTTATTGAAAATACATCGAAGAGAAGCCATGCTGTTTTGATCATGATAAAAGGTCACCTTCCTAGGACCGCCCCCTGTTTAATAATTCATGAGATGACGTCATATTTACTGGGCATTGCCACGTGTTTTTACCGACCCCATCAAATCACTGGTATGAATGACGTGTTTCTGATTTATATATTCAAGAGCAGTTGTTCTGGTCCAACGATTTTACATAAAATGTCTGTCTATACGTCAACTTTCAATTTCAATAGTCTAGAAAGTATGACAAAGTATGACAAAGCAGTAAATCCCGGTTTAACGCGCAAATATGCAAATTAGCCTTTTTCTCGTCTTCTATTTTTGGTGAATTCTTGGGTTTTA